TATCGCTGGTTTGCTGAGTTTCAACGTGGACGTGTCAAGCTCACTGATGATCCCCGTCAAGGTCGTCCAAAAACTGCAGTCACCCAAGAAAACGTTGATGCTGTGCGTAAGCTGATTGAGGAAGATCGACATGTGACATACCGCGAAATTCAGGCAACTTTGGACATTGGCATGAGTCAAATACAAATAATCTTGCATGAACAATTAGGTGGAAAAAGGTTGTTTTCCCGATGGATACCGCATTCGCTCTGTGAAGAGCAAAAAGCGGCTCGCGTTACTTGGTGCGTCAGAACTCTCGAAAGATTCCACGCAGGATCCTCAAATTCTGTATACAACATTGTATCAGGTGACGAATCCTGGATATACGCGTACGAACCCGAAACAAAAAACCAGTCACGAGTTTGGGTGTTCGAAAATGAGTTAAAGCCAACAAAAATTGTTCGTTCACGGAGTGTTGCAAAAAAAATGGTGGCCACGTTTGTCTCCAAAACCGGCCATGTTACGACTATTCCTCTTGAGGAACAAAGAACGGNTCTAAGGGTCTCAGTATAGTTACAACGGCTGCCCCACCCTTCAAACCGAAACGCATTACTGCTTCACGGCAGAAATAGGCAGGGTGGTGGTACCTATCCGCGCGGACTCACAAGAGGTCCTACCACCAGTAATTACGCAAATTACAATTTTGCGGGTTTGATTTTTATTACACGATGTTATTCCTTCACCGTGGAAGTCAATCGTGAACATTTGTTGAGTACGTATTTCATTAGAAAAATTGGTACCCGCCTGAGATTCGAACACCGGTGCATCGTTTCAACACGAATGCACCGGATGTCTTATCGCTTAGGCCACGACGACTTCATATAAGTTCTAAGGTCTCAGTACAGTCATATCGGCAAACGTAGGCAAACGATCCCATTCCATACAAATATGAGATAACTTTTACGCTATCGAGAACGTTAAAAAACTCGCACTAAGCACACTGGTTCACTGCTTCGCCTCTTCTACTAATAAAGTAAGTAATTCTCATGATGAATAGCCCAAACAAGTTTTGATAGCATCAAAATTATTTGTACGGTTTTGTCCTTAATACAGTGAATTCAAAGTTAGAGAAGTCGAACAAACGGTCTACCCGAAATCGTCCGCGACCGAGCGTCCGAAATGTCAAACGTCGTGAAAAAGAATTTTCATTAGAGAGTGCAGGGTCACCACACAACCCGTGTCATCCTGCGTCACAGACTGCATATCGTCGAATCCCTGAGCCCCCATTCCTGTAGGGTTACCAAACTTTTATTTTAAACTCGTATACCAACATTATGATTGGCATAGGTAGTTGTATATCACTTCAAAATCATCAGCCCTAAGTTTTCCTTTCAGATTTTGACTAAGAAGACGAAAAGTAAAGCAATGCCTTTACAGCGTTTGAATGTTGAAGATAAAAGAAGAATAACAGTTCAGTCAAATCTATGTTATTATTAACTTGTTAATTTTGCCATATTTAATATTTAGTAGGCACTGTTTTTTTGGTATAATTCACCCAATCTTAATGTTTCATAGAATTGTATTGTATTTTCGTTGTATAGATCTTACGTGTGAAAACCTTGGCGTATCACCGTCATATAAAATTTAAACTTGGATAGTCTTAGATAGTCCTCATGTCTAAATATCGCCACAATTACTGTATGATGACTTTAGGCAGACGTTCTTGCCATGGGCCATGAGAATAACAATATAAAAGTGGTACGAAAACAAATAATCAAGACTAGTGTTATTAGAAGAACAATGTCTTCACTCAAGGCCAACTATAAACAAGGTTGACCATCGAAATAGTCAAGTTTACTGTCACTGCTAATTCATTGCTGGCTGTTTTTTTATGATTGAAGGATTGCTGGTGGCCTGGGAACCTTTCCAGTTTCACCAGGACAGGTGGGCGAGCAAAGGCTCAGCCAGGAGGGGTGGGATTTGCTAACAGCTGCCCGAGCGCCTCCGAAGGAGACCTAACAACTCAAGAGCAGCTGCTTTGCGAATGAATCTACTACTGGATCGGAATCGCGACCCGCTGAGAAGATGCGCCAAGAAACTCAGCGGGCTGATGCATGGGTTAGGTTGCACGTCGACCTCTTTGTCGAGTTTGACGAGTACGGTTACCGGGGTCCCTCAGCCTGCTCCTAGTATTAGACGTTGGCTGTTACAAGCTTTACTTTTGAACGTGAAACTCGTTCACCGTTAATACAGTTGGTTTTATGGTTCTCTTCGCGATTCTCCATAGTTTATTACAATAATTATTTAATGTTTATTAATGTTTTAGGGATCTCAATTTGAAGTCATTCATCATTGATTTTTTATCAACCAACGACTAGTAATTGTGTAACGAATCATCTATTGATTTTGAGGACTTATGTGATACAGTTATCTTGTCCTTCGAAATTATTCATACCATGTTCTTACCCCATGCGAGCCAAAAGGACTAGTATTTATTGGTGCAATTTTAGACCACAGACGTATAATAACCCTCACACCATCATATAGGTTCACCACAAAACTGATCCTCCGTAACCCGCATTCAGTGGATTCTCGCGATCTTTATCATTTTTTATAACAATCAATAGTTTTATCTTCAAAAAATCTATCTGGAATACGACTAATTTCATTTTTGCAAAATAGAATTTTGCGATATATTAGCTGCTAATTTAATGAACGTTCTCTGAAATCTAATGCTAAATTACAGAAAGCCAAGCCCTCATTACGACTCGATAATGACCGTACGTGCCTAATGCGTATAGACGCCAACATAATTGGATTTGCAAACCAATTAATGTTGAACGCGCTCATTATAATACCAGAACATTGCTCTACAACATATTCTATTCAATACGGCTTCTATTACTAATTGATTAGTTTCTGTGTAAGCCCTCTAACAGAGATCTGTGTACATCGGATTTTATTATTCTTCTATGCAGCATATAATAATAAGTGTTCTGTCCGACTATCAGAAGACGCGTCTGTAGATAAAACGAATTATTTTAAATTTTCTCGGCAATCATGACGCTTGCAACAGCCCGGGAGCTTATTGAACGTGAAAATCGTAATATTAATAAAATACAATACTCATATAAATAAATAAAGTAGTTTTTATATATTGTGTACATGTCAATTAAACCAAAGAACCGTCCACAGATCGTATCCCTGCTTCCTAGAAAACTAAACACCCCTTGACGATTTTCCTCAATCCTTATGTCCAACGTTTAGCTATTTATGAAGGTTTAAAAAGAGTTTTCGAGGCTAACGCATATCTGGTATTACTAAAGGTCTTAAGCGATAGTGACCACTCACTATCTAATAGATAACTGCCCTCAAGTCATTTATTGTATAAATTGATTGAATATTTCGCCCAATCTACCATAATTTCAACAGCATTGTGCAAAACATATCTACCTATCAAGTGAAGTAAGCAACTATAACGCGCTTTGTCCCATAACCAATTGATGCAAATACCGGGTAATCAACTGTATAGAGCCATGCACTAATGACTTGCGTTTAGCTGAAAGCCCTGCATAAACCTATTAAGTAGATGTAGTTGTACTTACACCGGTAGGAATCGCCGCCCATGCTATTAACAAACCTCCAATGCCAACGGTTGATAGGAATTATCATACAGACATAAAATAAACGTTATGTGTGTGTTTATTTTGATTTAACATTTTCGAAATATTGGGTCTTTTTATTTTTATCTTTAACACGCTTTTATTGGCTTGCTTTATTTGAATGTAATGGAATATTTGTACCTCATTTTCACAGACTTCAAGATGTCCGATTAACTTCAAAATTTGCACACGCATCAAGGACCAATGAACATACAATCTATACTAATATTATAAAGAGGAAAGATTTGTTTGTTTGTTTCGAATAGGCTCCGAAACTACTGGACCGATTTGAAAAATTCTTTTTCCATTAGAAGCCGACATTGTCCCTGATGAACATAGGCTACTTTTTTTTTATTATTTTTTTATTTTATTTTTTTGGTTTCATGTGTGTTTTAATGTTTCCGAAGCGAAGCGAGGGCGGGTCGCTAGTAATTTTATAACTTCACTCCAATATCCTGACCAGTATTAACAGGATTTAAAAAGATGAAATTAATTGAAGTTCAGTTTACTATTTAGGCATGCCTATATATTTTTGAGACTCCATAATATATTAATGATTGCTCGTTGTGTCAATAAATACCTTCTCTCTTGCAACTCCTATTTGCTATGAATATTATATTAAAAATTTTTATACTTGACAAAAGAATGTGGTTTACGACTATGATAAAGTAATTTATTAATTCCATCTCGACCCCAGAAAATTACTTATCCGTACTGCTCATCATTGGTAGACTAATTATTACTGTGCTTAAAATTTAACATCCTACAATTTACCTCCTAGTAGCGCCATCTATGCACCGTTTAATGAAGCTTTGCGATTAGGGTCAAGCGTAAATAACAGTCAAGATCGAGTAATATGTTTAAAACGAAACTAAAAAGCTAATTGAGGAAAATCTATGAATATTACAAGACAATTAATTATTTGTTTTATTACGCAATTAAATGCAAATTGCTAAATTCTAATCAGTAAAAACTAATAAAATATAAGTTTGTTTTTCAAATTAAGTCAATTCTGTCACAGATTATGCATGTTTTGTAGAATGAAATACCCACCTTTAGAATGAAAATATTTCACTACCTACGTTCTAAAGCATTCACGTTCTTGTATTCTGTTCTAAATATCTTTTTAAATAGTATTAATAATCATCAAAAGGTTGCAACCTATAATGAGTTTCTTTTTCATCTAAACATTTCACTCAAAAATCTTTCAAAACCTTTCTCGGAACATAAAAACCATGGAAAATGGCTTCTATGTAATTAACATTCAAATAGTATTGGACTAATTAAGCGTTTTTTCGGCGGCTAATTTGTGATCCTTCATTAATTTTTATCCAATTAAAACAGAGGTCGTATACTTGAATGTTAAAAGGAATTGTGAATACAAAAAACAGGTAAGTCATTTCTTTGTTACAAAATAACTCTTATCATTGGAATACACACACACACAAAAAGCGTGGTTTGCATGGTATCAGTAGTTATAAATATTTTATGAATAAATATGAGTAGAAGGGTTATTTTGATAATATCCTGAAAAGCACCCCATGCTTTTTTTACAATAAAATCATTTTTTCTTGCACTATTTTTAATTCAAATTTATTAAAGTTTATTCTCTATTTTTTTGTTGGATTTTCTATAAAAGCGTATTTTGTTACTTTTTTTAAACTATTATTTATTTTAGTGTAGTAAATGGATAAACAAGCTAATGATATACCTGTGTCAAGTTGAATACCCTTTTGATACATAAGGTCAAACTCTTAGTGTAATGACGGCGATTCAAATCTTCAAATATGGAGGCATAAGGATGCATTAAGGTCGCGTGGCAAAAATATAAAAAAAAATGCATACGAGGGTCAAAGTATAAGCGATGAAAGTTATAAGTTGTATATACAATAAAATCATTTATAAATAAATGTCTACATATATTTTATACAATAAAACCATTAATTAATAATACTCTAATGAAAAATTCTGTGTACTAGTGTCCAACCAACTTACGAAACTCGATTAAAAATCACACCTCAAGTTTTCTATTCGATTTATGTATTACGCTTACACATTTGTTTTTCTAGTGACATCTTGAAGAAAAATATGTCATTCCAATATATATTCACAGGAAATAGTCAAATTTGCCAATGGCTACTAAACAAAAAAAAAATCGCCCAAAAAAACACAGAAGAAAATGATATTGAACTGTTTTTGTCTATAGTGCATTAATTATTCCCAATTAAAAATAAATATATGAACACATATGCTTACCAATATCTACTAAACAAAAAAATAAGATAATATCGGTTAACGAACACAGAACATTCAGAATGGCATTTGGCGTTTTGAGATTGCCTATTTATGCATAGATTCTTAATTTTACAAAACCATTCACAGGGCAGTCATGAACGTCGTTCCAATATATACTAGAAGAACTAAAGATGCGTGTCCGTCATGCCGTACAGTCTTAGAAGAAAATGTAGAAACAGAAATTGCTATTGAATCTCATCTTATTGTTATTCTACTACTATCCATGTAAGTATTTTGGACTAGAGGATCTTGGTGATACTGTAGGCTATACTTAACATATTGGTATACGACCCCGTCTTCGTTATTTTTTTTTATTTCTTAGATGGGTGGACGAACGCACAGCCCACCTGGTGTTAAATGGTTACTGGAGCCCATAGACATCTACAACGTAAATGCGCCACCCACCTTGAGATATGAGTTCTAAGGTCTCAGTATAGTTACAACGGCTGCCTTACCCTTCAAACCGAAATGCATTACTGCTTTACCGCAGAAATAGGCAGGGTGGTGGTACGTACCCGCGCGGATTCACTAGAGGTTTTACGCAGTAATTACGCAAATTATAATTTTGCAGGTTTGATTTTTATTACACGATGTTATTCCTTCACCGTGGAAGTCAATCGTGAACTTTTGTTAAGTACGTATTTCATTAGCAAAATTGGTACCCGCCTGGGATTCGAACACCGGTGCATCGCTTCAACACTAATGCACCGGACATCTTATCCTTTAGGCCACTCTAGAATCGTGTGTTCACGTCCGTATTTCCTTAGCAAATTAATACCTACTCCCAGGATTAGAACACGGTCATAGTCGCATCACACAAAATACTTATCTTTTAGGCCACGACGACTTCTACAGAATTCATTGCGCTTGCCTTCTTTTGCGCATCGAATGCTGAATAGAAATTGTATTTTCAGGCTTCTATCATGCTTACCATTACCTGTTTGCGTGTCGTCGTGTAAGCACATTGATCATTACTGCCCAAATTCTAAGGCGTTCTTTATTTCATACAAATATTATTGGATATCACTGAAGAGATGATAGTCGCATCAAACACATCATTACTCTAAGCTGTATTACGAGTGTCTTATAAATATAATAAACAAAACGTGTGTGAAAATGATATGTGACTTATTTGAATCGTACGAAGAAGAAGAATATAAATAATTTAACTAATAAAAATATATATTCGAATTAGATTTAAATAAAATGTACCTTGTCATTAAATATATAAGTTGATTTTTGTGTGATAATAATAAAAAATTTTGACATTATGCTTGTAAATTCGAATGGATTGTAAAAAAATGTTTTCTATATCAGAACCTAGAATTTTATAATGAATTTTAAATTAAACTAATTTTTCTTTTAATAGAATATGTATTGCTTTGATTTAATTAAAAATCTAAATGTATTTGTTCTTTTCTGTCTTACATAGCTTTGGTTAAATTTTCCAGAACTTTATTTAATTTAATTTTGTTCATTAAATACATTTAAACATAGTATAGTGTTTATCGAATAACAATGTAATTAGTTGTTGATTCAAAATAAAATAAAAGTGATAATAAACTTTAATGATATTTTTATCTTATCTGTTTGTATATTGACATTAATTTAAAATCGTTTACAAATAAAAATAACTCATACAATATGAATGTAAATAAAATGTTTATTTTAATTATTATATGAAAATAGAAGTCGTGTCTTTTCTCATTATTTAAATAATTCTTGATATATTTTCTTTAACTATTTTTCACTAATTGAAAATTACTTTTTTCATTTACGAAAGTAACTTAATTAGTGTGTGTGATTTTGTACAATGTCGTATTCCTGTGTTGTCTTATATTGTAAGGATATAAAATATCACAGAGAAAGTTTCGTTTGCAATCAATGTTAGTTTCGGATGTAATACTTGTTTTAATAATCGCTTTAAATTATTGAATAAAAATTTGTTTTATACAATCAATCATGTTTTTATTCACGATTCACTGAAATAACAATCACATTAAAATGTTTTTGAATCATATTTATCAAATATTTTTATCGAATAAATGTTCCCTTTGTCTACGTGATAGCAAAGAGTTATCGGTGTATAAGATCTATGAAATTCTAATCGTATTTATTTTAAAATAATACTTCAATTTGTTGCTCTGTAAAAACAAAAAACATTAAAGTCTATTTTATTGTAAATTCGTTCACAATTCAACATGCCTAGAAATTAATTTTATAACATCATATTTCTTCATCTCTATCGCCGCTGTTTTATTGACATTCCACATTAATTCGAGCTGCTTTTCAAAGAACACAAGCTCGGAACAAAAGTGAACGTTAAAAAAGTCCACTTTCTTTACATATTGTTAGTATGTATTTCCTTAGAAAAACTGTACCAGTCCGCGGATTTTTTAAAGAAATTACCGGGATGTCATTTATATATATAAGGCATATAGTATTTATAAAGTATATAAGTAATATGTATATCAGTCTGAGGCTCCCATAGGGATTCCTACACAGAATCCATTAAGAAGTCGTCGTGGCCTAAAGGATAAAACGTGTAGGTATTTGTATGTAGCCATGCATCGGTTCGAATCCCGCAGCCAAGTACCAATTTTTCTAATGAAATACGTACTTAAAAAATGTTCACGACTTCCACGCTAAAGGACATAAAAACATCGTATAATAAAAATCAAAACCGCAAAATTATAATTTGTGGTAATTACTGGTGGTAGGACGTCTTATGAGTCCGCGCGGGTAGGTACCACCACCCTATTTCTGCCGTGAAGCAGTAATGCATTTCGGTTTGAAGGGTAGGGCAGCCGTTGTACTGTAAAAACTGAGACCTTAGAACTCATGTCTCAAGATAGGTGGCAGCATTTACTTTGTAGATGACTATGGGCTCCGGTAACCACTTAACATCAGGTGGGCCGTGAGCTCGTCCACCCACATAAGGAAAAATAAAATATCAAAACAGAAAACTAGCTTTGGGCTAGATAAACATCTATCAATTATCCCCGATTCTTATTATTTCAATTATAGTAAAAACTTTCAAACGCTTCGCAACCCTAAATAACTTTACGTGGCGTACCACCTGAGCTTCATTCTGAGGCTCAGACAGCTTCCAATACTGCTCTATTCAATTCAAAGGCAGTATGCATAATATTGCATAATGCTCGAACAGCATCGACTATGGAAATCATTTTAGCAAGTCCAGCACCGACGCGCTAACTCTGCAATGCTGTTAGTTAGGCTGAAAGATCAACTCAATTGACTAAGGCAACTTAGTTATGGGTACCAGAGACTGACAAATATACTCATATACCTTTAAATACGTATATTTATAAATAATAAACACCCAGATGAAGAACAAAACAAACCTGTTTATCACACAATGTTTGCCCGATGTGGGAATCGCACCCACGACCCTCGCCGCAATAGTCATGGTCGCTAACTACCGCACCGACGAGTCACTCAAATGCTTTCAAATTCCGTCAATAATTTGTTTTTCGTAACATAATTTTTTTGATACAATAGCTAAGTTAATTCAATAGCTTTTTACTGGTGGTAGGACCTCTTGTGAGTCCGCACGGATAGGTACCACCACCCTGCCTATTTCTGCCGTGAAGCAGTAATGCGTTTCGGTTTGAAGGGTGGGGCAGCCGTTGTAACTATACCGAGACCTTATAACTTATATCTCAAGATGGGTGGCGAATTTACTTTGTAGATGTCTATGGGCTCCAGTAACCACTCAACATCAGGTGGGCTGTGAGCTCGTCCACCCATCTAAGCAATAAAAAATAAAAAAATAAATCATGTACATATTATGTAATTGTAATAACTGTAAAAACTGCACTTTTTTTGTTTTCTAAACAAAAATAAACTATTTAAATTTAGAATTGAACTTAGTAACTAGTAAATTAGTACTAGAGGTACATAGGTCGTTTCATCTGTTCAAAATGAGGCAATAAAAACCACATGAACACCACAAGCTCAGCATGAGACAAAGTCGAAGCATCAATTGTAGGTCATTACGTGTGTCCTTGGAACGCATGAGTGCTCCTGCGGTAATAAGTAGGATGGTGACGTAAGCCCAAAACAACAGGGCGCTTCCTGACCGCCACGTCGTCGCCGATCAAGGCTACTAGCTCGCAGCCAGGGAGCCGGCCGATCGATAAAATGAATAAACACCTCTTGATATCTATATATTAATACGTGAAGCAAAAACTTTGTATCCCTTTTTACGAAAATTGCGCGGACGGAGGAGTATGAAATTTTCCACACTTTTAGAGAATATAGAGAAGAAGTGCAGAATGCTAATATTTTTTTAAAATAATGCATAAAAGATACATTAAATCAATAAAGAAAACATTACACACACTACCAATGTATTTGACGCACACAAATATATACTCTTTGTTTATCGTCAAACTTTTGTTATTGCTTAAAGTCTGTAGTCAAATTGAGAATAGGTTAGTATTGTTTATCTTTAATATTACGATTATTTAATTTTGTCTATAGTGTAGTCTTGGTGAAATCTGTAACAATAGGACCATAATAATGTTGAACTTATAATTTCAATTAATTATAGTCGAATTTCGACTACTGTGAGACCACTAGTTCTATTGAATAGGACCTACCCTGTTTTTGTATAAACCACGATCGCATACGTTTTATTTGGTTAATAAGAATTGACTATAAATATGCGCTTCGAGATTAATTAGCCACATAATGCGCGTACACAATTATGACAAATTTTATAAACGTTTTTATAGAGTACCAGCCAGCTGTTCAGCACTGCAATTTATAGACAATAAATATGTTTGAATTATAGAATATACATAAGTTTGTATGCGCATCGGCTTAGGGGTAACAGCTTTTTAAGGGATTCCCGATCCGCCCGATGTTAAACGCTATGCCCAATACATGTACAGTGCGACTCTTATACAGTAATCGTCAATAATTGACGCAAATTGCAATGCCCACCTTTTGATTTAATATTTTAAAAAAACAACCTACTTCTAACCTAACTGACCTTCAAACGATTGTTAAAAACACCATAAATATGCTACCAACCCGTGCTGACTTACAAAATGTATCAACACTACAAATAAGGTAAAACGTAAAGTTTAAATTCAAAAAAAGAACCTCATGGCCAGTTTGTGAGTTTTTGTTTGTTGTTGAGCAGAATGAGTTTTTTTTTTTAAATATAATGTTATAGGTTTACAGAACATAATAGCAATTTAAACACAGATAAGCTAAAAAGTAAGGTATAGATTTAGAAAAGGAATTGCATTGCGAATTATGATCACTTATTTTTTTTTAGGAATGCAATACGCCGTAAACTCTTCTCTGCCTTCGTTTGTAATCAATATAATACCAACGACACAATGGTATGCTCATTTAAAAAATTAATAATACGCATAAAAAATTAATAAAATCCTCGCAGACGTCGAAACGAGTTTAGGCTTTTTTGCGCCGGTTTTTATTTTGTTCTTTGTGTGGTTTTTTGTTAAAGAACCAGTTCGAAGTCTGAGTCTAGATTTTTTTTTTACAATAAGATTGATTGCGTTAGAAACAGGCTATGGTCACCTCTGGAAAACTTTGCACGAGAGCAAAATTTTAAGTCAAATTCATCAGACAGTAGTATTTCTGATAAGAGCTTCCAAGTATTTTGCGGTACTTGAAAAATAATTGTTGAATTTGATAAATATCGTTTTATTTATATACTTTATTGTTTTTTGATTTAATATTCAATTAAATTAGTTATTATCTTTGTCATTTATCATATTATCATTAATCTAGAGCTACATGCGATAATAACTTTATGTTTTCCTTTGTGGGAATTACCGTTAATTTTTTTGTAATATTTTTGGAAAGGGGTTTTTTTTTTACTTTTGCAAGCAGACGAGGTTAAGGCTTCTCTCCTTCACTGTCGTTCATGGATATAAGCAAGGGACATAGCCAAACCGCTGTCTATTGCTAGAGTACTCCTCAGTGTGAAATAGATTATGTCAATCAGGTAAGAAGTGATCACGATAACGGACTCATGACTCTAGCACATTTTTGGTAAGGAACTTGATGTAAAGTGTCATCGAAGGACAGAGGAAACACTTAGTAACAGAGCGATTGGCTTAGTAAATAGGCTGTACGTATTTATGTCTGAAATCATCATTCTCCTGCCGTTCTCCCAGTCACCTGGGGTTGGCGCAACATGTTTTCTCCTTCCATACTCTTCTATCATATACCATTTCTTCGCGCACTCCCCTCTTACACAAATCATCATTCACGCAATCCATCCATTTCTTCTTAGGTCTGTCTACCTCTTCCTCTATATCCTTCCACATTCATAGTTAACACTCTCTTACCAACCTAATTTTCATTTCGTCTCATCACCTGTCCATACATACCATTCTAAACATATTGTAACCTGTCTGAAATGTGAATAATAATTAAAAGAAAATAATAAAACACCAGTTTAAACTAAGGGTTAAGTAGTATTACCATTGCTTCAAAGGACACGTATTTATTTTTTGTTCAATTTACACGTGACCTATAATCGATGATTTGGGTTCGTAGTTACCTCTTCCATCCGCCCAAAAAGTTCGTAACTTTCATTTAGCGGTCAACTGCGGTCCTCACTGGTCGGCACCACTGACATATGAATAAAAATAACAGCAATATGACAAATTTAAGACGTTCTCTATTATTATCAGTTACTTAAACAGCAATGAGGGAGCGATGGAGAAGAAGATGAAACAGCTCCTATCGAATTTACGTAACAAAATTGGACCTGAATGTAAAGTCCTCACCAATTTCAGTACAACATAAATGAATATTGCTGTAATCAACCGGTCGCGTGATAAAAACTCTAATTAAGAGTCAAGTCGCAATTACCAGGCGTTTGTTTAAAAGTGACATCATTCGTCTCCCAGTTTTAGGCCGAGATCATTCCGTAAATAGATCAGCTTCCGCGCCCTTCGCGGTTCACACCATACGTTCTGGCAATCGTCCAAACAACAAGAAGAATGTTGGTTAAAATAACCGAACACTGATTGCCGCAAACTTATTCCACGTCGAATCGTAGCAATCAATAAACAAATATGAATCTCATTATATGATTTGATGTTTCGCATCCTATATTCATTTATAAGCAAAAACTGGCCTGTTTATACGCTTATGCTCAACAGTACCACACTTTTCCTACGTGATTATCTCATTTTCCAATTTCGGTACTTATCAAAACTAACCTTTAAATTTATAGAAGCATATATCACGTAATGTAAACATAAGAATCGTAATGATTTACTTACTGTAACATTAAATATTGTTAATGTATTAGACAAGGATCGCTTCAAACGTAATTTTTAATTATAATTATAGACTAATTTTAAGTTCCTAACATCGTAGTGTAGTCACATAGAGGGCTCCAGACGCCGACGGAGCATTAAATTATTATGCAGAACTTACACGAAGCAGGAAATAAACTTAATATTTTTAAGGATTTGCGAGCCATATTTATCTAGTCATCAATCAATCTGAATGTTTTAATAGTGTATATATATGTGGTGAACTAACCTGTTAAATGGTTACCGGAGCTCATTGGCCTTATAGCGAAAACCTCTGAGTCATGAGGTCGATGTTTCAATTGTATAACGGTTGTCCCACCTTTCAAGCTGGAATGCATTACTGCTTCGCGGCAGAAATGTACATGTTCATGTTTCTGCCGCGTTTCATGTAGCTATGCTTAGAATACTTTCAAACCGAAACGGATTACTGTTTCGCGGCAGAAATGTGCACGTTCATGTTTCTGCCGCATTTCATGTAGCTGTACTACGAATACTTCTTACCCGTACAGACTCCCAAACAGCCTTACTATCAGTAATTATGAATGTGTACTTTTAATTTTTATGAGTTGGATTTTGACCACACGATATATTTATTCATTTATAGGTTCAACCGTGAACAAAAAAGTCGGTACGTACTTTGTTTTAAGCACCGACACAGCTGCGACGATTGATGCGATTTCAGGCGACCTACTCTTTAAGACACGACGAACTTTTTCATCGCTTTCGATAACTAATTATTATTTATAACTTTTAATTTACAATATAATTGTTTTCGTTTGAATACACCGTGTTTTTTAATTAACCAAACTTCGAATTTAGACTTTAAAATATGCAACATTTAACCTTGATCACAGTGACCTTTGGCTTGACCTTTTCGTTGGTTATAAAAAAAGTACTTCTTATCCTAAGAAACCAGATATAGGAAGTATAAATTGCTTTGTCTTTTTTTCTTTTTATTATGTATGATGTTTTGATTGACAGTTCAAACGTCAATGTCAAAATATTAAGAGCATCAAAATAGGGTTACTTCAAAACAACACTCAATCTGAATACATATTTCAGTTTATGCTTAGTGCGAGTTTTTTAACTCGTCGATCGCGTAAAAGTTAACTCAAATTTGTATGGAGTTGGAAAAGTTTCCCTTCGTTTGCCGTTAGGGGCACTGTTCGAACTGCATACGAATTTGAGTTAACTCTTACGTGATCGACGAGTTAAAAAACTCGCACTAAACACACAGAGAAAAACGTAATGGATTAGACTAAGTACTAATTACATGCTAATTTCACTAAAACAATTATTGTATATTGATTACCACGTGTTTTGTTAACCAATTTTCTTGTATCTTTGTTTGGGTTTTTTTTAATTATAACCAACTTCTTCAGAGGTTCGAGACTTTTAAATATCGTTCAGAATTGGACGGTATTGTAAAAAGAATACAGAAAGAGAACAAAAAAAAATGACTTAATCAATAGACTAAAATGCTTTATGTAAACAAGACTGTAATAAACAACATTTGGATTTTTAGCTCTATGCGCTATAACTTTTTTAGTACATATCTAAGCTACGTTCATATTTTTTTTTGTCTAAAACTCATTATTAGACATCGCGGCAGTTTTCTTACAGTGTTTGTTAAATAACAAACAAACAAATCTTTCCTCTTTATAATATTAGTATAGATTACTTTATTCTATCGTCAATAGTTGTCGTAGCGCACGCGATGTAAAGAATATTTTCGGTAATTTTTTTAAACCTTGCGTTACATTATTGGAATTTTAGCAAGGATCCCTAATTTTAAAAAATATATATAGCCTGTGTCACTGAGGGATAGTGCAGCTTCCAAACAGTGAAATAATTTTTAATATCGGTTCACTAGTTTCGGAGCCTATTCAATACAAACAAACAAACAAATCTTTCCTCTTTATAATATTAGTATAGGCAATAAGTTAACAACATCATTTACATCATTGAATCAGAATAAATAAAAGTCGCGTTGTGTACTTTTTCAATATTTTATTTTTGTCCGTTAAATTTTACGTGCATGCGAAATTCTGTGCCTAAAACAACATTTCACCTTCGGTGCCAACCCTGAACCTTGTACAAGGTCCATTTTCGATCAAACAACGTTCTTCTGATTCTAAACAAATTCCGCACATAAAATTTGACAGATCAGAAACTTTGTCACGATTGAAAACATCTTTAGGAATGATCGAAAAGTTACATTACACTTAAGAATTGTAAATAGCATGCCACAAAAATACGTTGTTTTCTTATAAAAATTCACAATAAAAACTTAAAACTTAAATTCTAAAAATTGAATCTGATAAGGAATTGTGGTTGAATTCGTGAAACAATTCATATTTTAAAACGTTCACCTTAACTAATTTAAAATTTGAAGGAAAAAAAAAACAATATAATTAATAAAATACAATAAATTTCTTCTTGTTTGCTTAGTGAATATCTAAGGAAAGATTGTAAAAATATGTTATAATATATCAAAAATTGTAAAAGTGAGAAAAAATTTGATTACAAGGCTTTAAATTTTGGAAGATTTATACTGGAAGAATTTAAAATATCTCGAGTGATTTAAAAATCAAAAATCATAGATAAATGCATGATGTTAAATAACCTTGTAGGATTTTCTGAAAATAATCATCTACACTCAGCACCTGACTAGACGACTTGGATGATGAGGAGATAAAGCACATTCACCACCGCCAATGCTTTAAGATGAAGCTACAAAATATACTCCACAGAGCTATACAACATTAAGCCGAACTTAAGACTGATCATGTGATTATTAAATATAAAAACGAAACTTATATAAAGTGCAAATCATCGAATGGCATACAGGAATACGCAATACGTTCACAATTATGAAATTATCTTGTATAGGTTCCGATGTAGGCGTTGCAGTTTGGACAGTAGTGGTCCGAATTCATGCACGAGTCCATGCAGTATGGCAGACATACGCAAGGCAAGCACCTGAAACAAAAGTCATTTAGATTTAATATAGATTTCATCACTGGTGGTAGGACCTCTTGGGAGTCCGCACGGGTAGGTACCACCACCCCGCCTATTTCCGCCGTGAAGCAGTAATGCGTTTCGGTTCGAATGGTGGGGTAGCCGTTGTAACTATACTGAGACCTTAGAACTTATATCTCAAGATGGGTGGCGCATTTACGTTGTAGATGTCTATGGGCTCCAGTAACTACTTAACATCAGGTGGGCTGTGAGCTCTTCCACACATCTAAGCAATAAAAAATAATAATAATAATAAATTGAAATAAAATTAATTTAACTAGTGGTCCCGCAGTAGTCGAAACTCGACTATAATTAATTGAAATTATAGTTTTGAACATTATTATGGTTCTTTTGTCAAAGACTTTACTTCTATAAGACAAATATTATTAAAGATAAACTATAATAAACTATTCTCAATTTAACACACAGATTCTAAGCAATAACAAAAAGTATACAGTAAACAAAGAGTATTTCTATGTGTGTGTGTGTGTGTGTCAAATACATGGTAGCGTGTGTAATGTTTTTCTTATTGATTTAATGTATTATTAATGTAAATAATTTAAATAAAATATTAGCATTCTGCACTCCTTCTCTATATTCTCTATAAGTGTGGGAAATTTCATATTCCTTCGTCCGCGCAATTTTCGTAAAAAGGGGTACAAAGTTTTGGTTCACGTATTAATATATAGATTGATTAAAATTAATCATCAACAGTTACCAATATAACCATTAGATGGGACGTATCGGTTGTCAAATACAAAAAAGAGGGAATCGAATCGATATAATGAGAGAAGCTTAACCGCCATAAAGACAATTCAATTTTAAACGTAAGACTGTCAATCAACCACATTGTTTAAATTTCAATGCGTTCACTCAAAAAATAACTAAAAAAAATCTACAACGGCCTTCGATGAACAATAGTATTTTTGATCATAGATAATGGCTTATTATTTAGACATGAGTTTTATATCAAAAAGAGCTTCACTAGGATACGTGATTAAACTATAATAGCCGTGAGAAAAGAAAAATTTAAAACTTATAGGACTGGATAACAATGCATTATTAAGCAATTTAATTTTATTCTATTCAAGGAAAATGATATATTCTGATCGTGATATAAAAATTTAAGAAATAGTGAATACGATTACTGATGGTAGTACCTCTTGTGAGTCCGCGCGGGTAGGTACCACCACCCTGGCTATTTCTGCCGTGAAGCAGCCGAATTTATTTAAAAGATGAAATGTCTCAATAATGTTGCGCGGCTAGCCAAAAATATACCCAATAGCTGGAAAGGTAATAGATTCGCATAAAAAAAAATACTGGTATTATCAGTGCGTTTTAAATTGAAAATGATTTATGTTATGTATGATATAATTCTGGTATCCAGAATAAAACAAGGCAGTGCGCCAACTGCTCGACAAGATTTTTTCAAGTCTTCCAATTCGAATGTTTATTTGAATCATTAACCCAAAAATAAGTGTTTGATATGTAGCTGTGTTTTTTTACTCTACTATTCGTTCTAGAGTACGGGCTTGTGGCTGTAAATTAGAATAAATATGTATATTATGTACAATTATTGAAATAAATACATATAAATCATACAGTGCCTTTTCTGCGTTGTTTGTCAGCCGTTCACTAACATAACAATAACAAAACAAAAGAAGATTTATCGCATAGTAGGCGAACTTCAGTCATGAGGCTAAAAACTAATGATTTTAAATCACCGAAACAAAACAGCAGATACAAAACAGAAGTAATATTACATAATTAAAATAGAAAAATAGGACGAAAACGAGCTCTTCCCACGAAATGTTGTAAATAATTGCTTACTTCATCATATACCGTACATAATAATATGTCGTACAAGCATTCCTTCATTGATTTATTATTAATCTCAATATTGCTTTTTTAGAATGCAGGGATTGCAAGCGTCCCAGACTTTAGTCCCAGAACTTATATCTCAAGGTGGGCGGCGCATTTACGTTGTAGATGTCTATGGGATCCAGTAACCACTTAACATCAGGTGAGCTGTGAGCTCGTCTACCCATCTAAACTATAAAAATAAAAAAAGATGTTTGGTGTCGTAGGGCCACCGGATAAGAACGAAGTTCCATATTATAGAAATATTAATTTTAAGTTCTTATCGAGGTATAAAGAAAATAAAACTGGAGGTTTCGCAACCACTCACGGCCATTCGGTAACGGCGAACTTATTGTGGTACACTTCATTCACGGTTGTTTGCATAAGAGTTAGTATATTGCGCAAACGAACGCTCTGAGATCGTGGTCAATGAATGATAAAAAAATATGTTATTTTTTGTACGTTATTACAATGTTAAGTCGTACACTGTGTTCTTTACTAATAAAAATCTTACGTTACGGACGTTTTTCCCGGTTCGGGTACCCCTCCGCATCGTCCCATAAAGAACTTCGTTCCAAAAATAAGAATAAATTAGCCTTAGAACGAGTGTGCCCGAGAACTTAGCCAATGTCAATTAATCATGTTTCTCTGTAATGAAAACACTTGTAGATTTTCAGTGATGCATTACATTTATGTGATGTGTTTACTCACATGCACAAACACAGGATGAGTGCGATGATGTGAGTCTTCGTGCTGGCTTTGGTCGTGATTTTGGTCATGACCGACGCGTGGCACGATGGACAGGTTACCTGTGCTGGATCTGGACCGACTGTGACCATCTTGATCTTGAAAAAAAAAACGCAGATATTACTAGCATAATCCTGGATTGACCACTTCGTTTCTGATATGTGCGCCTCTTCGGCTTAATAAAAACATTCAATCTCTCTTCGTAATTCTTCTATCGTTTGCTAGCATTTGAATTTCCATATAATATTGGATAAATGAAGAAATATGCAAATATTGTTAAATTAAAATCATTGTAGAAATAAAAAGATAAATAAAAAATCATGGTTTGCTTCGAATTTTGGGATAGGCCATAAATATATTGACGATAAATTCGAATATCTCACTACTAGTCGCATATTTGTTTTAAGTTTTTACATTCTCAGAGTTTTGAATTTTCAAGAACAAGAATAATAAATAAGAATAAGAATAATAAAGCATATTTTACGATCCTTTACGACATTAGGATGCCCTCTATCCAAACAATTTTGTTCCAATGTCTCATACATGTGAGTACAATCAGCTGCTATACTTGAGTAACTATACTTGAGACCTTAGAACTTGTATCTCAAGGTGGGTGGCGCATTTACGTTGTGGATGTCTATGGGCTTCAGTAACCACTTAACACCAGGTGGGCTGTGAGCTCGTCTACCCATCTAGGCAATTAAAATAAAAATAAAAGCTGCAAAATTTTATGGAAAGCTTACCTTACTTTCTACCCTTTTATGAACACTTGCATCCACGCTAGCAAAACTAAACTAGTTGGCGCTGTTTGTTATATTCACTACATATATACTATACATACTAGATAAAGAGCCAGCGTGAGCTTATTTGCGGTTTTAACTTACAACATTTTCATTTAAAATAATGGCTAAATACCTAACCATGCTATATTGAATATTTTTTAAATAATCAAATTCCTATGATGGATGTTTCTTTGAAATTGATATTCACCGATTCAGTAAAAAAATCATTAATACGATTTCATTCTGAACTAGCAGCCAGCCTAACCTGGCTATGGTCATAATGTTGATACCATATAACTACTATACCTCACAGATGGTGTTGTTTTTGGTCTAATACGTTTTTTTACGCGCCATCCATACACTTTTGCAGCCTCCTGTACGTAATATGATATAGAACAGTTGAACCACATTGCACACCTCGTTACGTTAAGATCTAATCTCACTAAATTCGAAAACGTGCCTTAATCGTTAAATGCCGACTTCCGAAGTTAGAAATAACATAAAATAAACAACGGGCCCCTAACCTTGAAGTTGAGCGGGCCGAACCACCGCGTAGTAACAACGCTGTTTAGTGTTCACTGGATTACAAATTTAGAATCCATTATTGAATACGCACACGCACTCTTCAGTTTTAAAAGCGGTTCTCTTAGCATCACTACATAGTATAAAACAAAGTCGCTTTCTCTGTCCCTATATCTGTCTGTCCCTATGTATGCTTAAATCTTTAAAACTACGCAACGGATTTTGATGCGGTATTTTTTAATAGATAAAGTGATTGAAGAGGAATGTTTATATGTATTATAACATCCATTAAATAGTGAAGAAATCAATAATAAATTACAGTTTCCGAAGCGATGCGAGGGCGGGTCGCTAGTTTCATATAATTTTCTTAGTTTCTCATTGTCTGTTGCTACGTAAACTATGATAAAAGTTTCACACTGAAGTCGTCGTGGCCTAAAGACGTTCTACATCTAAATACTTGTAGAAACACAATGAATATTTATGTTTCTATTAATCGTCCGTACACCTATAGACGCATCAGATGGCTGCGAAAATTCTAGATCGAGAAAGATAAATTAATTATATATCTTCTCCGTCTATTTATCTAGTTTTTGGACTGTGTTAAAACCAAGCAAAATTAAGGCCTAAAGGATATGAGACGTCCGGTGCATTCGTGTTGAGCGATGCACCGGTGTTCGAATCCCGCAGGCGGGTACCAATTTTTCTAATGAAATACGTACTTAACAAATGTTCACGATTAATTTCCGCGGCGAAGGATCGTGTAATAAATATGAAACCCGCAAAATTTTAATTTTCATTTTTCGCTAAGCATAATATAATAATCTATTGTTTTTGATAACGAATTTAACTTTAAATTCAATCAGTCGTTCATAATAGGCCCACATAATTTGTTTGTGTTATTTAACTGGCCAGTATTATTACTGAAGCATGTCACGTTTTTTTTTATTCATTCAGTGATGCTTTGTCTCTAATAATCCTATCCTAGTAGTTTTTGAATAGTCGCTGCCGAATGTCGATGCGTAACGCGCTTATGAGGGGCCCGACTGGGGAAGCACACATATTAATGAACTTGCAATTGTAGTGGAACCAATATTAAATTACCTGTAATTAATATACCCGATACAGCTAATTAACATTACCAATAAATTGTCATAATAACTTTCATTTCACGCGAAACGAGAACATTACGCGCACCTACACTTCTTTGACCTTCTAACATGTATAACACATTAAAGGTGACTCATTATCAACGCAACCAATTACGCCACCTCGTAATCCAAACATAAACACTAACCACTATTTAACATCTATCAGTATGTTCATGAAAACTGCCAATTATTACAAAGAAGTTTTAAAGTCATTCAATAATTCAAAGTATGCGAGCGAACCTACGCTATTAAAAATTCCTATCCACGCTTGTGCCCACGCTCAAGCAAATCAAAAGAATGTTATGATACTTTAGTGTTTATTACAGCATAACAAATTTTGCAAGTATCGCTTAGTCCCTCTTTTTCTACCTATGCTGATAGCCTTGAGAGGCTACATCAGCTTCTCCTTGACGTGTAAGTGAGCTCACCTGACTCAAACCGGGTGTGTTGCTAGCACTGGTCCTAGCAAGAGCAGTGCTTCGCAGAATTTAACACCGGATCGGAATCGCGACCCACTGAGAAGATCCGGCGAGAAACTCAGTGGGCTGTGTCTATGGGCTAATTCACTCGCCGAGCCCTTTGTCGCAAGCGACGGGTTCGACGAGGACAGTGACCGGTGCTTATGGTACCTCAAAGCACCTTTAATGGATCGGAAAGATCCGTAATGACGTGCTTAGGGTAACGTGGACTGTTTACCATTCGGTCTACAGGATCGCCACGATCACAGTCGACCGCTCACCAAGAGAATTAAGATCGAAGGCGCGTTGCACAGGGGTGACTGTTAACCTACCCTACGAGCCTGATTTATAACTGCTTCACAGCCGAATGGTTTCTGTGTGTCCCATCCTGGTTTACGGTAGAATTAAGTATGATGGTAGTACATATCTGTGCGATTTACTGGTGGTAGGACGTCTTCTGTGTCCGCACGTGTAGGTTCCACAACCTTGCCTATTTCTGCCGCGAAGCAGTAATGCGTTTCGGTTTGAAGGGCCGGGCAGCCGTTGACTGTAAAAACTGAGACCTTAGAACTCATGTCTCAAGGTAGGTGACGGCATTTACTTTGTAGATGTATATGGTCTCCGGTAAACACTTAACATGAGGTGGGTCGTGAGCTCATCCTTCCATCTAAGCAATAAAAAAATAAAAAGATTTATAATACACCAGTAAATAATGAAATAAAAATCAAATTATACGATACTACAATGGTAGTATTTAATGATAAATTCATCATAGATAGTAATACTTATCATAATATATTATAATAGCTTCAAAGAAAGTAATCACATAATATTATTACAATGACCAAACTACCGTGTGACCTAGAGCGGTGATAAGTGTTTTCGCTGAGACTGTTTTTTTTTTCTAAAAATATAATTATGTACATACAAAATGATAATTAGAAACGAAAATAATAAATAAACTTAATTTCAATGAATAGTACGACTAGAAAACGTATCAACTCTCTTGACACCAAAAATTAGGGAGGCGTATGGAACGCATAAACCAGAGCTCTCAAACGACAAACCACGGTAGGCCGAGGATTCGTAGACATACGGTATATGTATTAATAATTATAAACGTAATAGTAATATATTTGCTATGACAATAACCGCAGTGACATACTATTTAATGCGACAAATAAAATAGTTCAAAGTAAATGCGTACGTCCGTGTTTATGAACAATAAAAGAATGGCGTGAGGTAGCCCTTAATTACTTAGTCTTTCCATAAGCATTGTTACAGAAAAAAAATACATCCTTGCATGAAACATTTATTTATTATAGCAGAGATTCATATAATACATAGTTTATATAGTAGTATAGCGATACCCAACCTGCGGTACGCATACCCCGGAGGGTACGCCAGGGTACATGAAAATTATATTATACTTGCAATGGCGGAAGTAGTGGGCCGCTAAAACAGTTAACTTAATTAAACATTATTATAATGTCTTCGGTCTACAAAATGTAGCATAAAATGAATCTTCTAACTAATAACTTTCGAAGGTGTTAGGTATCAAAATTGAGTGGTAAAATATAGTACATTCGTTTATAATATACGGCTTGTCAAAGAGTGAGTAAGAAAGTACTTGTTAAAAGAAATGAGACGCATTTTAGATCAGAGGAGGGGCACTTCGGATTCGACTAATAATACCGAGCGGATGAAGCGTTTGGCTCATTACCTAGTTTTTGTAATGCGATCATAGCAATTTGCTTCTCTTTATCGTCCCATTTCATTTTAATATCACAGGAATAAAAACATCGGCGGGCAAATGAGAAAAGAAAACAAAATGAAGACTGTATTTTTATTTTTTTATTTATTGCGTAGATGAACGAACTGACATCCCATTTGTTGCTAAGTTATTGCTGAGACCGTAGATGTCATATGGTGTCAATGATCATACCAGCAGTGATTACTTAAATTATAATTTTTGTAAATATATTTTATGATAACACTGTTATTCATCATAGTAAAGTCGTTCTGTGAACACGAAGCTTTAATTACTAGGAAAGTATAGTACTAGTATAGATTCTGATAGTATACGGACTAAATATCTAATCCCTTAAGCTGTGACTGCCCTTATTTATTATACGAGAATGGATGATTCCAGATTGAATTGTTTATGGCCAGACTCTGTAGATTTAATACTTGGACATACAGACTCGTCATATTGGAGTCGTCATTGTCTATTAGATAAGAAATACTAGTAGCGTCTAATAGGAAAGCGGATATACAGTTACAATATACTAGAACCTCATGCCTCAAAGTCAATGTTTCAAAGGCATTCAGCTTGTGACGTCTTTGGACTCCAAAAACGTCTCAACATCAAATAGGTCGAGAGCTCATCTTTTAGAATAACAGCTACTATTTTTAATTTCTCTAGACGGATAGACGAACGAACTCACAGAATTCATTATCATAACGACGTGTTTGTAGAATCAAAGTCAAAAACAATTTTCAGCATCCAGCGGCTTGACTGTACATTACTCCATGAACAACGATGACAGCTTACCATCAGTTGGACAGTATGCTCATCTATCTAGAATTGTAAAAAGTAAAAATAAAAAAAATCTACCGTATTTTTATTCATTCATTCTTACTGTATATCTAAAGTAACAGACCTATAGAAAATATGATATAGAAAATACAAACTTGAATTTTGATACAAGTTTTTTTTTTTTGTTATACCGTAAACAAAACCACCCACGTATTAAATGTCTGTTTAACAATATTGAATGAAAAACATAAAAATTCTGTTTGTATTATGAGTAGTAGCGGCGCGTACTTAACGATGTATTGAACTGCGAAACAGAACTTCCTGATTTATAAAAAAAAAAAAACCCAACGACAACAAGAGAAAAAATAAATTCGTTTTCGAACGCGCGTAAAGTTCACCGCCCCTTCAATGCCTCCTTCCGTTTATATTTTTAATTAATACGAAATAATTTAATTTGGTTTTGAGAGAGTACCTACTCGTAACGCGAATTTATTAAAAAGGTTCAGTCAGCAATAAAATGTAATCCGGATGTTAGCTTCGATGATACGGGTCACGGTCGTCGTTCGACACAACAAAAACTCCCTCGCAAATTAAGGTCAGACCAACCCAGTTTCGCTAATGGCTGCTTCCCTGTGTCCTTGTATGGTTTTGTGGCGACGCTCAGGCGGCCGCCAATGAAACCATGGCTGAGGGATGTTTGTGTAACGTTTGTTTGTATTAAAGCAATGTACCGAGTTTAACTAACCCATTCCGTGTCACGTGCTACTTCGAGATTCTATATTAAAATAGAACGCGTACCGGTATGTGTTAGCGCGTAAATAAAAAATATGTATACTATAAAAAAAAAGATCCATGAATAAATATTTTACACAGATAGCGGATAATAAGCTCAACCAAAAAGAACCCAGAAGTTTTGTCAAAATATTTTACACATTCGATGATCTAAAAACAATTTGATTTGATGCGTGCCAAAAATTTTGTTAATGACGTGGCTTTAGAGGAACACTATCCGCTCGACGCGAAAAATAAACTGATTTCACAGTTTAGTGTTTAATGTGTAAGAAAATTGGGATTTCGTTTCGATTTTGATGGAACTCAACCTACACATCAAACAGAGCGCAATCATAGAAACAAGGAAAACTTTTTTTTTTCACCTATGCTGATAGCCTTGAGAGGCTATTTCAGTTTCACCCTAACGTTTGTAGGTGAGCTCACGGGGCTCAAACCGGAGAGTTGCTAACACTGACCCTAGCAAGAGCAGTGCTTCGCAGAATCTACCACCGGATCGGAAACCCGACCCACTGAGAAGATCCGGCGAGAAACTCGGTGGGCTGCGTCTGTGGGTTAATTCGACGAGGACGGTGACCGGAATAATATGCACGAAATATCAACTGCCTTGTAAAGAAACTTTATCCGGAAATTATTATTTTAATACATATTAACATCACTTAACACGAATTAATAATTTATTTTGCTTATTTTGCGATGATCCTTTTCAAAACTACCAGCATTATTAGAGCATGTCAAGACGCTAAGTCTACCACAAATAATCGAATATTTTCTGTAATATAAAAAACCCGCGTAATTGAAGTAAAAAAAAAACTCATTCAACAATATCATTCGCCGGCGTTTCACTTTCACGAAAATTGTTTGTTACAACTTGAAGTTACGATCACATTATCCATTATTGTATTACATTAAACATAGATAGCTTCCTAGAAATTCAAATAAAATATAGACACTTACCGATCAAAACTCTCCACTACACAATACGAGAGGCTAAAGATGAATATATATTTTTTATTTATTTTTTCAAATAACGCTACTACGCATGCGTGTTGTGTGCAGACGACTGACGCCAGTTGAGTCGTTATATCAACTAATTCACGAGTAAACTAGTTGGCCCGCGACCGCTTTCATATTGCAACCACGCCTATATACACCTCAATGGATTAAAGCAGAATCCATTGCCTTACTGACATCATAAACAACGACTTAAAGTTGCAAAAAATCGATATCTACTTGTTCTTTGATATGTAAAAGCCAATTTCGAAAGAAAAAACAGTCAGATTTGTGACGGAAATGAACGCAAGCAATCTTAATTATCAATTAATTGACTGCGAATGGTCGGCGATAAACATTTTTTTTCTCTTAGATTAGCTGTATTTATGGTGAAAATTGTAAGAGATTTACCGATTACGTCGCATTTTCATGCAGCAAGCTCAATGAAGTTAAATAATTAAAAAATTACATCCATTCAATGATATCGCGGTGACATAATTTGAAAAATGCTTGTGACAGGCATCGACATTCGTATAAAAAAAACTAGATTCACATAACCGATAAATACTAAACTAGTCTTTGTAATTTTGTAAGTCAATTCAACGTCGTCTACATATAATCTAGAACAATGATTCTGAAAGAGTGTGCCGCCGCACTGTTGTTTGTCGGCAAATTATGAAAATATATTTTGTACTGATTATACATATTTCTTTCTTTAGGAGTAAAGTTAAAATTGAAAACAGTACATATGTATAAAAATATGAATATGTTGAAGTATTCAATAATATAATTCGAAAGTAAATAAACACACATAATTTTAACAGGATTACACAGTTAAATAAATCTTTAAAAAAATTCAAATAACTATATTTTTCTTTCTTTAAAAATTGTGCGATAAATATATCTAGGTTGATCATCAATTCTTTCTTTTTCTATTGCTTTTTTTTCCCTACCTAAGCTGGTAGCCTTGAGAGACTATTCCAGCGTAACCTTAACTAGTAGGTGAGCTCAAGGGGCTCAAACCTGACGACGTTGCTAACACGAACCCTAGCATGAGCCGTGCTTCGCAGAATCTACCACAGGATCGGAAATGCGACCCACTGAGAAGATCCGGCGAGAAACTCAGTGGGCTGTGTCTGAGGGTTAATTTACTCGTCGAGCCCCTCGTCGCAAGCGACGGGTTCGACGAGAACGGTGACCGGTGCTTGAAGTACCTAGAAGCACCGTTAGTGGATCGGGGGGATCCGAGATGACGTGGGCGACGTCGACTGCTTTCCATTCTTTCCGCAGGATCGGGAATGTAGTTACCGTCGGCCACGATGAGAGGGTTCTCGTGTCGTGCCGCTTTATCGAAGTGGCGCATCGGCGCCGACTGCAGATACTTACTGATGGACTCTAAGTCCAGGTCGTCATGGAGGTTGACGTTCCTGACGAACCACGGGGCTCCGACGGCTATCCTGCAAAAACGGGATTGAATGATTTGGAATGATTTTTAGTGAGTGCGGGCCGCGTGAGCGAACACTACACTTGCATAGGTCATGGCGGGGCGTATGCAAGTTTTGTAGAGTGTTACCTTATTTCTAAGGGACATTTTACTTCGCCTTCATATCATCGGGTAGAGACGTCCTAAAATGAAGGCGGCACGGTCGCGTATACCGTCTTTATAATAATATGGGAGCGGAATGTCGTCCTTTTTCTATTGCAAAACCATCTATATGGATACAATAGCTAACTACTGAGTATTAATTACAATACATCATGGCGATTGTCGGCCATCTTGTCACGTCACCGACCTAGCCTCAAACTAGGAAGGCCGCGAGGGCGTTGGCCCATCCTAACTAATAAAAATAAAACTTTTACCATCCTATTTATTCTTGATAGTAAAATTAATCACAGCCCCCAATTCGATTGATCAATTCGAGAATTATTAAAATCAATACGCTAAAAACAGAATTTTTAAACGTTTTATTGTCACACCATTCCGAGCCGAACTTAATTTTGGTGTCTGATACACGTGACCACAATACCGGGCACGTGTAACGAAAATATGTATGACATCATTCTGTTAAAACTCGCACAAACGTCGAGCTATCCTCTGACTGGTAACACAGCTTAATATTATTTTTTATTACATTACTATCATAGTACAAACTATTGTTTTGTCAGTAAATATTTTTAATTATAATTCGAAGTCGTCGTGGCCTAAGAGATAAGACGTCCGGTGCATTCGTGTTGAGCGATGCACCTGTGTTCGAATCTCAGGCGGGTACCAATTTTTCTGATGAATTATGTACTCAACAAATGTTCACGATTGACTTCCACGGTGAAGGAATAACATCGTGTAATAAAAGTGAAACCCGCAAAAGTATAATTTGCGTAATTACTGGTGGTAGGACCTCTTGTGAGTCCGCGCGGGTAGGTACCACCGCCCTGTCTATTTCTGCCGTGAAGCAGTAATGCGTTTCGGTTTGAAGGGTGGGGGCAGCCGTTGTAACTATACTGAGATCTTTAGAACTTATATGAACTTATATCTCAAGGTGGGTGGTGCATTTACGTTGTAGATGTCCATGGGCTCCAGTAACCACTTAACACCAAGTGGGCTGTGAGCTCGTCCACCCATATAAGCAATAAAAAAAAATAAAAAAAATAACTTTAAACTTGAATTGTCATATTTAAATATGACTTTATGTTATTGTTGTTCATTAACATCGGTATCAATGCTTTATCGGTGGACCTCTTGATATATGTATTTTAATGTCAATGTATGTAATAAATATAGGAGCAATAGTCATACGTAAATAAGAAAAAAAACATAATAAATATTTTGTCTTAAGTGATTGGCGTCGAACTCATACAAATATAGACGTGATCATGAATTTATGTATACATGTAAACACGGAGTACATACTAAACATAATGATTTACGTCATGTCAGTTTTTTAGTGTCTCCTAAAACAAGGAACCTTAAACATATCCAATCAACAAAAACAAAGGTAATTCGTTAATTAATTATTGATTTACTACTAGGTACTGTTTCGAACAATGACGTAGACGTTTAAGAGCGCAATAATTTCTACAGCAAACCTACTCGAATCAGACATTCCTTAGCTTAAGCTCTTAAGTCCTAGAAACATATTCTGATTAAAATTATTTTTACGTTAAAAGGGTTTTATTTTTTAATTAATCACAAAGTTTATTTTGGTTACGTTCAACACGAGACTAATCATTCGGAAATTATTAAACAAATGTCTCTTGAAGCATAGTATGTTTTATTTGTGACAAAAAATAAACGAAATGAATAGAATCCACATGCGAGTGTTGAAACTATTGATGTGGCCAAAAAAGGCAATTTAGATATGTGTGGGTGTGTTCACGTCCCTGAGGGCTTGTAACATGTCAATCAACACCTAGAATTTGTTCAAATTTGTATTCTCAACAATTATAAACATCAATTAATTACAGTATAAAGTAAGCGTAGAAGTCTGGAAATGTTTTGCGGAGCCGTGGACGGTAGTCAGCAAAATATTTAAACAGCAAAGAATAATATCTCAGTCGTCCGTCACTATCTTCTTTTTTTTCTACACCTTATCCCAGTAGGTGGGGTCAGCACAGCGAATTTTTCTCTTCCATTCTCTTCTACCAGCCGTCAGCTCAACACTAACTCCTCTCTAATATCGTCATTCACACAATCCATCCATGTCTTATTAGGTCGACTCTTCCCCCTCTACTTTGCACTACCATTTCCATCCATCTCCTAGTCACATACATCTTCTCTCTACGCATCACATGTCCATTTCACGCTAACTGTCCGTAAAAGAACACAAGATCAAACCGTAAATAGTGGTTATAGATATGTATAAATTATGTATTGTTTTGTACAATTTAGATCATCGTTCACATCAAGCTACTGTTATTTACTTTGCACCGTAAATGTCATGATTAATAACTGACAGGAAATTAATATACTCATATAACGTGTTTGAATTTTATCATTCGAAAGCCTTTTAACAGTTTATCAATTGCTTAATTTACTGAGCGTCCATGAATAGAGGTAATTGATGTATGTACGAAAATAGCAATACTGACAGAGTCCCTGTATTTCCTTTTTGTTTTATCTTTAGGCTGTTCACGGTCTTCGTCAATATTCAGTATAGTTTTGATTGTATATAAACAAACAACTAAACGCGAAGTTGCTATAGCGGTTAGCTTTGATGTAAGAAGTCGACGAACAAACCTGGATGCTATTTAAAAAAATATGTAAATAATAATTGAAAAAATACAAAAATGGAAAGTTTTTTTTTATTGCTTAGATGGTTGGATGAGCTCACAGTCCACCTGGTGTTAAGTGGTTACTGGAGCCCATAGACATACACAACGTAAATGCGCCACTCACCTTGAGATACAAGTTCTAAAGTCTCAAGTATAATTATATATACAATTAAGAAACTGTTAGAATAACTAGTAAAAATAAACACGCAGCTTTGACCTTCGGAATCTCCAATAATGTACGGTCCAATTTTTTTTAGAATTAATTAAACAAACGATATTTCAACTATTATGTTTTCTATCCCATATACAAGACACATGTCATCAAGGTTAAAGTCGTATCTTGTTCGTCGTAGATATCATGGAAAATTAATTGTAGAAAAAGGACAAGCAATTGTAGGCTTTGTTACGTTCTGCATTAGATGTATTTTTTTAACGTTTCATCATCTTCATATCTTCTATATTCTTTTATATTCACAATACCTACTCTATAGGTTATGCAATACATAGTCCAATTCGCCGGATATAGGAATTTAGCTTATGAAATAACCATTGTTTTTAATTTGTTTATAAGCGAATATGTGGACGTACATACGTGATAAATATTGTCGTATATCGTCAATGATTTGTTGAAACTGTTTAACTGGACACAACACTGCCTCATTATCATCCATGAAACTCATGAAAGACAAGAATAAAATAATAGTTAAAAAAATCTTTACCCTATAGATACAAAACATGATACATTAGCAATAGATACCTACATAAAAATTATCATTATTACCACAACATTTGATAAACTCTAAAGTTCACGAAGCAAATAAGGAGATACTGTGCGTATGT